GCTAGCCACCTCAAGAAAAACAAAGAAGTAGAAGAGTTTTCCTTTCAAAATGCTAACATCTACCTTCTGTATTGGGATCCAAATTTCGTTCAACACTGTGGCCCAGTGCAATTTAGTTTGCCATTTAGTGCTATAAACTGCTGATGATACATCAGTCAGTCCCTAATACCTGTTCTTCCCTTTAGTAAATAATGCATCTTTTTTTAAAGAATCTGAAAACTTCCAAAAAGTTGAAAAAAGTAAACACATCACTGTAGTTTTGCCACCTGTATAATCAGGTCCCATAGCTACAAACACAGAAGAGACTCATGCTAGTTTACAGAGGAAAGGGATTCATTTGAAAACATCAGGCAGGCCAATTTTCCTATCAGGCCCAGTAGACATGATGCCAGTGACCTACAGTGCTTTTGGGGGTCTATAAAAATGTTTTGATTTTTTTAAGATCTGAAGAAAAAAATAGTTGAAACAATTTTATTATGCACTATTATTATATCTATATGGCAGTGCAGTCATAAAGTCTAATTACATACATATACACATATATTGGTGCATGTGCGTGCGTGTGTGTGTGTGTGTTATGGGCAAAAGGTCTGCTGAAGGCAAAAATACATAGGATCCCTTAAGGTCTTAAAGAAACAGAGGCTCAGGCTCAGAGGCTGCCTGCTCAGGAGCCCCAAGCTTAACCACAACCACATGAGCACCACCCCAGGACAAACCCCTGGTCTGATGCTGCCACAGGCTCCACCGCCCACACATGGGCCCGAGGGCACCTACCGTGCCCAGAATGCCTCTGGGAGCTAGTGAAGATGTCAGCTTTCAGAGTGGATTGTCAGATGGATTCTACAAAGCATGCGCTGCTGAATCAAAGCCTTGTACAACATTATCTTATCAGGAAAGTCTAGGCCATACACTCCCACCCTAACATTCTCAACATATGAGAGGTCTGTCTCAGAAAAAGAACAACCATTGTTAATAAAACAAGAACAGCTTGCAGGATATTGATATAACCTGGCAGCCAAGGAGAGTGGACTGGAATGCACATGTATACATAATGATGACTTCACGGTACTAGTCAGTGGGAGTAGTAGACACCATTGAGTGAGCATGTGTACTGTGTGGCCATCACATTCAAAATGACAGAACCAGTAAAGCAACAGGTCAACATCGAATTTTGTGTTAAGCTTGAACATTCTTCCACAGAAACTATTCAGATGATTCAGAAGGCTTTTGGGGATCATATAATGAGTGCAGTGCAAATAAAAGTGTGGCACAAATGCTTCAGAGATGGTCAAAAATCTGTGGGAAGTGATCCACGATCTGGAAGGCCTGCAACAAGCGGAACACCTGAGAACGTTGAACATGTACGGGCTGCAGTCAACAAAGATCATTGACGGGCAGTGCAAGAACTGGAAGCTGATATGGGGATTCCAAAAACCACTGTGTCTGAGATTTTGGCAGAGGATCTTGGCATGAAATATGTCCTGGCAAAATTCATTCTGCAGCTTCTGCTACCAGAGCAGACGGAACATTGTGCTGCGGTTGTTAATGACTTGATCCAAACCGCTACCAATGAACCAGATTTCCTCAAGAAGGTCATAGCAGGAGATGAATGGTGGGTCCAAGGCTACGATCCGGAAGGCACTGCAGAGTTGTAGCTACATCAAGACCATGGTAACTGTGCTTTTCAATTGGGAAGGTGTTGTCCATCATGAGTACGCTCCTCCAGGCCAAACAATTAACAAGGAGTACTACCTCAATGTTCTTCGTTGGTTGAGAGATGCAATACAATGAAAATGGCCTCAGCTATGGGCAATTGGTGATTGGCAGCTTTATCAGGACAACGCACTGCTCAAGCATCACATCTCATGAAGAGTTTTTGGGCCAAACATCCAATTACCCAGATGACTCAGCCTCCCTACAGCCCAGATTTGGCACCCTGTGACTTCTGGCTTTTCCCAAAGCTCAAATCACCTTTGAAAGGGAAGAGGTTTCAGACTGTCGATGAGATTCAGGAAAATAAGACGGAACAGTTGATGGTGACCGGGAGAACTGTGTGAGGTCCCAAGATGCCTACTTTGAAGGGGACTGAGGCATCATTGTCCCATGTACAATGTTTCTTGTATCTTGTATTTTCTTCAATAAATGTCTCTATTTTCCATATTACATGGCTGGATACTTTCTGAATAGACCTTGTCGTATATCACTTAAGGGATAATTTAGACTCAATGTGTAATGAAGTCTGAGAAGTAGATTTCTGGCATCCATCCTGGTGATGTGTAAACTTGAAAGGTGGGATATTTTCCAAATGGGGGGATGTTTCAAAAGTACTGAACAGCTGAAAATCCACCACACAAAACTACTGCCCACACATTGATATATTGATATTTAGACTATCTCGAATGCATGGGTTTTCATTTAATAGTTCAAATCTAAGCTATGTAAACTGCAATTGCTGAATACTTATTATGTGATAGGTACTTTTAATACTATTTGAATCATATAATTTTATTTTTAATTAAAAATGGCATTTTGAGATAGGTAATATTGTTACTACTTTCCAGGTTATAAATGAGGAAACTGAGGCTTAAGGAGTGGGGGGATACGGTTTAGTATTGGTGAAGACGGGATTTTACGCTGAGCCTTACCTGCTCTGCTACACCTGTTACATGTTGACATACACAACTTTAAATCCTGCTTTTTACCTTTAATATTTTGGGATAAACCTTTTTAAATCTGAACTTTCGACTCTTCTTTTTAACATGATGTAATAGTCCATCAAATTATTATAACAATGGTTTCAAACACTTCTCTACTTACTGTATTTAGTCTGTGTCTATATTTTTCCTATTTTAAGTAGTATTGTAGTAATTCTTTACATAAAAATTTTTAAAAAGTAGTTGGCATTGCTTCCCTAGAATAGAAACTCAGAATTGACATTACTAGATCAAAGGGCATGAACACATATTTCTGAGAAGCCAGCACCACACTTTATTTACTTTAAAGGTGAAGAAATGAGCTCGCTAATGCACTGGTGCACTCGACACATTTACCGCCTTCCTCCGTGTCCTGGGTGTGGGACCTGTGGTGCCACCATGGATGTCCCACAGTCACTTACCGAAAAGGCATCATGGTTCAGGAAGTGTTAGAACAGGGTGTGCGTGAAAAGAGCATCTTGTGTAAATTATGAACGGTGAAAATGCTTCCTAGGTTTTCTGGGACAGGGTAGAAACACGTTTAGAGCTCTCAGCAGTTAGAAAAGTGGCAGTTGGAGCAAAATCAAAATGGCATCAAGCGCGAATGGTTTTTCTTCTTTGCCAATCGGTTGGATGAAATATTGTTGATCATTGTTTTAATGGTTATTTCCTTGAGTACTAATGAAGTTGGACATTTTCTCTGTGTTTGTTAGTACATTATTTCTTCACTGTGAAATATCTTTCCATATTTTGGTACTCAGTGTTTATATAAAGTAGATTTTGGGTGATGAAGAGGCAGAAGAAAATTTCCATTATTAGTGCATGTACAGCCTCATAACACAAGTTACCTTAAAGTGGCCTCTCCTCGCCCTGGCTGGTGTAGTTCAGTGGATTGAGCGCCAGCCTGCTAACCAAAGGACTGCCGGTTCAATTCCCAGTCAGGGCACATGCCTGGGTTTAGGGCCAGGTCCCCAGTAGGGGTTGCATGAGAGAAAACCACACATTGATGTTTCTCTCCCTCTCTTTCTCCTTCCCTTCCCCTCCCTCTAAAAATAAATACATAAAATCTTAAAAAGAAAAGTCTCCTCAATCATACCCTTATAATAAATCAGTGTTGTGGTTTTGACCCCCTCCTTGTGGGCAAACCTGAAGACTTGTGGGTAGAATCCAAGCGGCAGGACACCATTTAAAGGGGATCAGAGGATAGGATTGGGTAGCTCAAAACAAACCTGCTGTTTTCCCAGCCCGAGAGAGGCAAGGAGCGTTACCCCAGGGAGTGGCACCATGGCTCTTCGCACCTACCTGCTCTCTGTCTCTCTCCCAGAGTGTACTTTGGCTTTAAGAAATCTTACCACTGCTGTTTGGCCTCCTCTTGTGTGCCCCTGAATTCTTTCCTGTGATGCCTCAAAGACCCTTCTCTCTCCAGTGATACCCCCAAGAACACCTTTAGCTGCATGAGTTGCTGGAAGCGTTCCTAAGACTCATAAAAGCTGTTACACTGACACTCATGGTTTATTGGAGTGAAAGGACACGGGCTGAAGCCAGCCAAGGGACACGGCGCAGAAAGCAGAAACCCAGGCGCCAGCTCTCAGGTGTCCCCTCCCAGTGGAGTTACACGGCGTGCGCTCAGGTCTTCCAGCAGCCGTGTCTGAGAGGTGTGGTCAACCAGGGGAGCTCAACTGAGCTTTGGGCTCTAGGGTTTTGCTGTGGGTCAGTCACGTAGTTTCATTAGGGTCAGTCACATAAGCTTGCAGCACTGGGTAGTTGACCTCAGCTATTCCAACTTCAGACTCCACTGCCCGCAAACCAAAACAGGTGTGCACTGTACATATCGCTGGTCCAGGGGAAGCAGCGTAGGTCGCGGCCTCAGGCGTGCAAACACTCTGTCGGGCAGACGGTTCCAGAGGTTGTCTTCTAGGAGCTGAAGACAGGCCTTTCTTTGGAATGAATGTGCAGGGTTTGCCTAACTCAGAACTGCTGAGCTCACCCTGGCCTTCCCAGGGGCTGTGAGGACTAAATGAGTTAATTCACGTAACTTAGAATAGTGCCTGACTCATGGAGGCGAAAAAATAAGGGTCAGCTCTCGATCCTTCTAGTGGAGCTCTGTGAGTCGAATAAAGCAGACTAATTTGGAATACAAAGAAGAAATTGCTGTGTTCCGTGGATCTGATGTTGATGACATATGTCTTCAAGTTTGGGATGACGCGCATTTTAGAGCATATGAAGTATTTTAGCTGGGCTTGCTTTAGTAGGAGAAGACTGCCATGAAACACCAGTCCTAACACGCTGTCCATTTGTCCTTCACAGAGCTCTGAAGTCAGCAACACAGCATCAAAGAGCAGAGCTGTCTGGGGAGTACAGCGAAGAAGCAGGTACAGGAGTGATTCTCGGTAACTAGCATGTAACACTCATTTATATGGATGATTAGTTCAACGTTATAGCCCCTATTACTTAAAAAACATTTTACAGAACTACCAGTTTGTTGTCTTAGGATTTGTGGGACTGCCTGTTCGAGCTGGCTGACCGTACCCTAAAGAGGGATTGATTGATTGATTGGTTTATCCTCACCCGAGGACTTGCTGATTGATTTTTAGAGAGAGGGGAAGGGAGGGAAACAGAGAGAGTAGACACATTGATTTCTGTGAATACAGTTGATCAATTTTAGTTAGGCAAAGCCTAGGCGTAACTGTGAGATAATTAAGTCATCATTGTTATTTATTATTAAATCAACACATGTTTACTAAAGGCCTGTTAGTAAACATGCAGGACCATGGCAAATGGTCCTCTAAAGGCCTGTTAGTAAACATGTAGGACCATGGCAAACGGTCCTCTCTGAGGCGGTTGGTAACTTTACAGAATTGACCCAAACTCACTGGCACCACCCTCTCCTGTCTTGACGGTGCTCACAGTGCAGTGGAGGTGGCTCGAAATAAATAAGCATCAGGACGTGAATAAAAGCTGGGATTAATGCCATGGAGAGAAACAGCAGAGTTCTGTGGGGTGAAATATTGGGCAGCCAGGGAGGAAACCGCTGTGGAATGGCTGAACAGAGAGCATCTCTCTGGGAGATGACTTTGAACTGAGTGTGGAAGTACGAGGAACAGAGTCATAAGCAGACGGAACAGCAAGGAATGAAGAAATGATTGAAGAAAGCGATAAAGCAGCTGGAGCGGAGTCACTGGTGCCTTTGAACCAGCTGTGCCTGGCCACGTCCTGCTCTTGGCATTTCTGTGTAATGTCCTTCGGGCTCCTCCCCTGGTCCCCAGAGTACAGGTGCTTTTAAATCTACCATCCAAGCCTACTTTCCTTCATCTCCTGCCAAAGTCCAGCGCGCCCGTCTTACGAGGGCAAAGAGGCTCTCAAACGCCTTTGGTGCTCTGAACGCTGGTTCTGTAAGTGTGGCAGAAACAAGTTTGGGGTCGAGAGAGTTTGAAAATTTCTGGATACTGTAACACTCTCAGAAGCTTTAAATGCACATTAACATATTATAGGTTCACATGTATACATATGTGTGTGTGTAGGTGTGTGCAAACCATGAATTAGCTTGATAGTTCCCAAAGTTATTTCCAGGTTAGCCTTAGGAAGTATTTCAAAAGTTTCTTTCTTGGAAATTCGCATTTCGAGGTTTCTTGTACTCCCAAGGCTGGCCTGCTTTTAAGTAACTGACTTATTTTAGGGCTCTGCACATTAAATTACAATAGATAATTTTCTGCAACCTAGATAAGTCAAGCCAGAAAAAAAACCTGTTTGCTTCAGTGGTTTTGCTTTGTTAGGCAGAAGAGTTTTCTTGACCAGAATTATACGGCTAATTGCTTCAAAATCTGATTATACTTTACGTGTGAAAATACAGCCTTTAGTACCAGTAAGGACCACTGGAGCAAGAGCTTACTAAGTAATTTTCAATGTCAATATTACTAATATTTGTTCTCTTGAATCAAACAAAGGAAAGCACCACATACTGTTTGCATCTCAGCTGCCCTGCATCATTTCTCTCCCCTGAAAACACTTATTCCTCTTGATTTGTAAAATTCTCATAATTTAAAAAAGCATTAAAGTGAGAAAAATGACTTGGGGTAGTGCCTACTGTAACACCGAAGAATGATTTGATTTAATATAAATTTGGAGATTTTGTATTTGCAGCAATAAAAGTTTCCAGGCCCAGAGTATGAGAGTTAACCTGTGCTTATTTCAGAAGAAAGATTCTTAGCAGCTATGACGGAAAGGCTACTGACTTTTTAAGATCAATTCAGTACCTTTCGATTCGGGTAACTATTATTTAAAAAAAAAGAAAGAAAAAAATCATGAAAAATTCCAGAGGATTTCATAACTTAGAAACAAAAAGTTACTTATTTCATCCTCAGAAAGACAAGAAGAGATAGCTGTCCCTTAATTACTCTTTTTGCCATTTGCTTTTCTTGAAAGATGTGTCTCAAATTTGGAATCTAATTAGAATTCTTAACTGAAAGTGGATTTTAAAAAAGGAGAAGAAAGAAAGAAGGTCAACATGGAAACACAGAAGGAGGGAGAAAAATAGCAATGGTAAACTCCGGCCAAATTGGATAATCCCCCATGTTAACGTGAGCGGCTTCTCGGGAACATGCTATTTCACAGGCGTGCAGCTGAAGTTTACTGTTTCCTCTTGCAGGAGGAGTTTTCTCAACCACATGATGTAATTTGTAAGCATTGTTATTTTCAGGGATTGTGCTTTGCTCAGTGTAAAAACAATGGTTGTAAAGTTTCGAGGCCTGAGTTGAATCCCAGCCCCTAACTTGTTCCCTATCTGACCCTGGACAGATTTTCTAAGTATTTTCAATCTCAGTTTACCCATCTCTAAAATGGAATTTCTAAATCCTATTTTGCAACATGGTTGATTTGTTATTTATCTCTTGATTTAACACACGGACTGGTACGCAGTCGCAGATCTAGATCTATTAAGTTGTAGAAAGGAAGAAAACAAAGTAAAAAGAAAACAAAGGTACATTTAAGGCTATATAGTAATTGCTAGCATAGACTATCGCAAATACTAAACATTCAGAGAATGCTTATTGATTCTGTACCGTGGAGGCAAAATCTCAAATCCTTTTCCTCAAGCAATTCTTTTTTCTTGTAGATATTTCAGATTCTCTCTCCAGATTGTCAACCCCACTTAAGGGCATCGTGACATATTATGTCTGAATTACAGCACTTTATAAGCTGTTAGGCATGATAGTTGCACGGTTAATATTAGTTTAATTGAGTGAAGCTGTGAACTAATAGCGCCAGGAAGTTGGATCACCCAGCTTGTTCTGATCCCTGGCTTACAAACTCCCTAACATCTGAGGCAGAAATGCTTTCACTCCGAGATAGCGCACCCCCTTCCCGCTGCTTCTCCATGCACTGGACTCCCATTAATTTCCTGTTATTCATGCCTGTTCCACACGGCAGCTTTGTCTTTGCCCGCAGTGCCTCCATTTCAGTATTGTTCCCCGTTGTTCCTCATTCTTCCTTCTTTGTCTCCCTTCTTCTTTCCCTCCCCTCAATCTATCCCCACATTTTTGATGTACAGATCTCTAACAGTCCAATCAGATATTTTCTCCTCCATGAAGCCATCTCAGGTATCTCCTGAGATTATCTGACCCCCTTTCATTTTTTTTGGCTTTTGTTTTGTTTTGTTTTTGTGTGCTATTCCTGTTCCCCATCTGCGAGCCTGACAGCGAGCCAGTGAAAGCCCAGCCCCGTATGTTCATGGCTCCGTCCTTGTATCCTCAATGCTCTCCTCCATCCTCTCCCCTTTTACTAAAGGACCCACCACGGATGTGGACATCTGGCCCCCTTTGCTGACTTTGCGGGCTGGGTCACTGGGGGCGTGAATTCAGGCCATCAGCTCCGGGCTGCAGTCCCACCATTGTCTGAGACCGGTCGGCTTTCCGAGTGCATCCTTAGTTTCGGCCGCTCTGTCCCTCGGAGTCAGGAGCCTGGCCTTGTGCCAGGGGTCGAGGTGCCCTGATTCCCAGGACACCTGCCCGCCTCCCTTTGCCCGTGGCCCTCCCTCGCTGTGGGTCCCTTCCCTGACTGACGGTGTGGGTAGACGTGCAACGCTGGGCATGGCCCCTCCACAGAGGACCATCCCACAGCTTCCCTCCCCAGGCCCCAAGCTCAAGGCAGCCCCTATTTACGGATGCCCGTTCAGGGCAAACTTGAGTCTGTCAATGAAATCTTAGTAATTTGGACTCTTAGCCCCTTTACATTAATATTCCAATTTATTTCTCTGAGTCTTTTATGAAACAGATATCTTTTTGTTTCCTTCTGTGTCTGCATTCCTCTTGATTGATGCATAGTAGTTACTATCGAAGCAGTCCAGTTGTACCTCTCTTAGGCCCTTTTCCCACTTGCTTAGCCACGTCTAATAATTGTCAATACTATTAATATTAATAATGCTAGTTATATTTATTGACAACTTGGTGTATCTTCTAACATTTTTTGTTTTGTATTTACTGTTTAAAATATACACCATAAAAATCCTGCATTTTGATGTACATTTTTGACCAGTATAAACTGTCCCATACTCACTGTCACAACCAAGATTCAGAACACTTGCATCACCTCCAAACCCCCCCTCTCTGCCCTTGTATGGTCAGCCTGTCTGCCTGGCGCTCACCATTAGAAACCGCTGACCTGTTTTCTGCTTCCATAATGCCATGCAGATTGAATCATACCATATGTAGCCCTTGGAGTCTGGCTTCTTCCGCTTACTGTAATATATTTAAGATTTACCATTATGTTCTGAAAACATACTTACATGACTTTAATCCTTTCAAATGTATCATAGTTTTATGGCCCGCGTCAAACAAACAAACAAATTAGGAACTGCTTTCAGGTCAAAACCCCAAGGAAAAATACACAGAGGGATAAAATGGAAAATTCGCCCTCCTGTGGTTTAAAATTCCTCCAAGTTTTAGCCCCTTGTCATGATTTTCCTCCTTTTGTTTATTTTTGAAAAGCCTCAGGTCGCTTGCTTTTTGTGGGGACCTGTAGTCCGTGGGAGACGCAGTGTTCAGTTGCTGTGCTCCGCTTCTGCGGAAAATGGGAAGACTAAAGACTTTTCCTATATGAATCAATTTCTCTCCACAGTTAATTAGACAGGCATTAGCACAGTCTCCATTCATGAGGAGGAACCTAAGGGACAGGAAGGCTAAGGAAATGGCCCAGGTCCCGGAGCCTGGGCGGTCTGGATTCATAACAGGTCTCTCACCGCTTTGCCATGCAGCCTCTGTCGCGCTGAGTCCCTGTGCGTGAGCAGGACCCAGACGTGCCTGCTAGGCCAACACAGAGGCCAGTCACGAAAGACAGACCCAGAGCAACAAGAGGAAATCGCATTTAGTAACTTGCCAGA